CTCTGGTGCAAATTACTGACCTCTGTCATCATTTTAAGTGGGGGAACTTGCACAATCGGTGGCTGACTAAATACTTTTTTGCCCCACTGTATATGCAAACCAGGTATACTCTTCCATGTCCAACACTTGTTTTTCAAGAGGAGATTTGACATGACAGCCAGTGCAGAAATGTTCTGTGTCTGTTTATGAGATTTTGCTGTTCAATCAAACAAGAATTTAGAACAACATCTGGCAATGAATGCTGTTTCTAACCCTCGCAACTGAGAAAAGATGATTCAACTTAAGTCAAGCATCTCACTGTTTAAATAGAAGTTAGACAACAAAGCCCTTTTATGATTATTTATAGCTCGTTTTAGTTGAGTCACACTCTTATGCACTTTGTTAAATCCTGAATTAACAGAGCCAGATGATGAACAGCTTTGTGAACCCGAAGAGCATGTTTTCCCTATTGCTGCTTGGTGTTATTGTTTATGCATACGGAGATCGGGAGGGGGTACGTCAGGGGTGATTAAGAGGTACAATCCCTGACCTAAATAAACAAAGAGGTAACCCCAAATTAAGGCAACCGCTGACTCTATTAAGCTATTGTCTTCCGAGTCTTTTAAATATCAGCTGTGTGTATGGATTCGTCAGCTGGGGAACATCAATGCAGGGATTTTGTCAAGATCAAACAAAAAATACACATTTGAATTAATGATTAATGATGGGTTTCTTACAATGATAAGCCCTCATACATTAATATGCAGTTAGCTTTCGAACTGGGGCATTTTCCTTCACTGTGGCTCGGTTACAGGAACTAACCGCTGCAGACAGATGTGGGAATTTGAACCAGACTATTGTCTGGATCAGAGTTGTATTATGATACTGTACAACTGCGCGGCAACTCAAATTAGCTGTGTGTATCTCTGCTGTTCTTTACACACGAATAACTACTATCCAACTTCGTCACAGTGAAAATGTCGTTATAAAGAAGCATTTTCTAATCAGTTTCACTTTCACGGCAGCTGTGTTGTTTGCTAGCTGTCAGCGAAGTGCTAGCCGTCCGCTTGGTGGAAAAAAAGCAACAAATAAAAGCTAACAGCTACTCACCCGTGACTTCTTCTTCTTCTCTTTCTTCTTGGTGATGTTTTAGTCCTGTTGTCCGAAAAAGCTCGCATTTCCTTCTCTATTCATGTTTAATAACTATGTATGAGTGAACAGCACAGGCGGCTAACGATGAAGGCTGCTCAGTGTAGGGCTACACCAGCTAGCAGTTCTCAACAGATAACAGTCAGGCCAGGCTTCCGCTTTCCCTGGGCTTTAAATACTACCCAGAGGGTCATCATCATCATCAGCTGCCTGCGTCTGCGGTGAAGAAACAGGGCGTCTCAGAGCACAAACAAATCCCGAAGACGGCTATAAATGTGGCCGCAAACAGCAGCGTGCCAAAGGGAGGGGCCCCAACAGGAAACATGACAGGCTCAATGAGACCGGAACAATTCACAATTCAACACAATTCAAAACCATTAACCCACACTGTTTAACACATCTGCATTTTTAAATCAGTTTTTATTCCACTTGAAGTTTTGTTTCGCTTCAGTCAGTGACATAGTGGCTTTCCTCTGTTTAGTTTATAACAGTTTAAACGGCCTCATTTATGTTTGAACTTTAGCTGTGAGCAGAATGTGAAAAAACATCCACTGTGACTTCTCTCTCTCTCTCTAAACATCTATGTACTGTGTTGAAGAGATCTGTACTAAAGTTGGGCCTGGCTGTACTTCAGTGTAATACCAGTTTGTACCACAACATGGTGCAGCGAGAAAATGTAACCTTAAACATGCAAATAATTAAATCACATCATTTATGATACTGTGCAAAAATCTCGATTCGCCCTTCATTTCTTTATGTTTGCTTCCATAAAGTCAAATTGAAAACTGTTAAAGTGATCTCGAGCAACTCATTTTTCCTTTTCTCTGCCTTGCACCCATTTTCAGAGTGTTTTTTGCTAGGTGAACTGCTTACAACTGACCTATGTAACATTCACGCATATAAAAATGCTGTAAACTCAAGGGATGAACCAGTGTCATGTCTATATGTAACATGACAACTTAGCAAAGAAATAATTTTAAGTTTATGTTGAGACACGTTGTTACTAAGAGCCTATTTAAAGCTCTTAGTAACAACTAAGATTCTATTTTAATCTACAAAAAGTCCCAAAGATACCAATTTGACAGATATAAAATAGTATCTATGCACCAAGAAGGTGATCCTCAAAGCTCTATTAGCCAAAAAATTAGCACATCTCAGTACTGTACGTACTAAACCTTGAACTTTGAGGAAACTGGACAAGTGGAGAACAGAAAAATGTCACAAAGGTAATGGATGTATGCACTTAGAAAAACAGTGTCAGATTTTGATAGACTGTGGCCTGTAGAACTATGTCTGAAGACTACTTAAAGAAACTACAAGAAAGCTTGCCTCAGAGTTCACACTGTGTTGAAGAACGAAGGTGGCCAATTAATGACTCTGAAGCTCATTGGAAGTTTTCTTTCTTTAGCCCAGTATTTTCATTTAAAATATATTTTTCCCAGCTAAAATTACATACATCCCACCAAATTGCATAGTGATTCAACACATATTGTGGTCTATAATAGCCACAACTATTAATAGAGTATGGTTACATATGTTAGTTTAAATGGTAAATGGTAAATGGCCTGTATTTATATAGCGCTTTACTAGTCCCTAAGGACCCCAAAGCGCTTTACATATCCAGTCATCCACCCATTCACACACACATTCACACACTGGTGATGGCAAGCTACATTGTAGCCACAGCCACCCTGGGGCGCACTGACAGAGGCGAGGCTGCCGGACACTG